AATTATTTTAATATATTATGAAATGTTAAATTTTATTATTTTTAAAACATATCATTTTTGGTTATTTTACATTTTCAAACTAGCTTATCAACAAGTTTTTGCTAAAATTATTTAGTTTATCAGCTAACTTATCTGTTATCATCTAACTTATTATTATGAGCTAACTTATTAACAATCAGCTAGCTTATCGTCTATTTTGCTAAACATAAGCTTTATTATATAAAACCTTATAATGGTTAAGATCCATTATTTAATTAATGATACATTCAGTAAGGATCATTATTATTATGTTTAAAAAGTTACTTGATCATACGATAAAACATATCCTCCATAATGTTTTTCCAAGTTTTTATTTTTTGATCTCTAACATATTCACCAAAATAAAGAAAATAAGGAGGAAAAAATTTCCAAATTAAAAAAAATCTCACAAATTAAATATTGAAAGAAAGAAATACATTTTATTATTTTTATATTCTACCATCAAAATAAAGCTTATTAAATACGCCAATATAATAATATATCGTATTGTCATATTTATATTTAAATACTTATGGTATATAAGAATGCTTTTTTATTTATTAGTATCTTATAGAATCAAAAATTGCCAAAAACACTCAAATAGTTTATTATACAATTATTGCAACTTTAATTAAACAATTGTATACTAACTATTGAAAATTACCATTTTTATAAAAGTTTGTTGAAAATTACTATTTTATGGATAATCTATTGAAAGTTAGTTTTATTGCTCTTATATCCATAATGAAATTAAGGGATTGTGTTTATTAATATGTGAAAAACATATTATATTTTCCATATATAATGTATCCGATTATACAAAACCATACATCCTATTTTTTACTCTCTCAAAAATTATAAATCTATGTGCTTTTGAGATAGCAAGATTCTTTTGTTGGTTATATGTTTTATATGGTATTTTTGAACATATTAATAAGTTGTATGTATGTAGGTATAATTTGGCAAACATAAGCTAACTTATTTTTTTGAGTATATGTTTGTATAAACATAAGCTAGCTTAACGCTAGTTGGAGTAGTGGTTTAAGTGTTCCTTTTGGCACTTTTTCCAATAACTTTGACTAATATTAGTTTTAGTTATTAATTCCAAATTATTAATTGTAATGTATTCATTAGAAATTAATTACTGGTTATTTAGAATTGTTATTAATTTTATCAATTATTTTTATATTACTATTATTTAATATATTTAGACGTCAAAAACAAAT